TCTACAAAGACTTTTAGCCATGATACTATGAATAACAAGATAGGATCTTCCCGTAGCTCAAAATCGGTCGGGTTCGCGCATGCCGTCATTGGAGACTAGAATTTGAATTCTTGTTAAAGTTAAATCAGATTTGTATGCATTCTGTGATGAAATTACTAGACGAAAATAAGTTAAGAGGTTTAATAATTACAATAATCGTACACGTAAGGATATCTCCAAACTATTTATTAAAGATTATTTATTGATATATACAAAAACTGACATTTCGAACGTGCCAGTCTCCAATGACGTCACAAAAACATGCGCAATATCTTATCTTATAGTCATAGTATCATGACTTTTATCTATACACAGTAAACAGTTTGCTGTAAAGGTTTTCTAGTATATTTCAGTCTTAAATTTCAGACAATACTCAATTGTCAATGATCTAAAGATGTCAAAATATTTGCTAATTTTATTAATGACTTTTCACTTACTTTTGACACAGAATAACAAACAATCAGAATGTCCACTCTCCATGGAAAATTAAGTACGCGCATCTCATTCGCGCAGATGTTCCGCCATGTTTTAGAGGGAACCAGTGTTGTTTATGTGGTGTGCATAGAAAAATTAACCCAGTTTAGTTGACTTACGGCAATTATAGACATACTATACAATTATATTAACATTGTTAAATATAATAACATAAATAATAATATAATTAAACATAAATATAAACAATTACATAACCTCACAAATCATATATCTGTGTTATGTGTTTCCTTCTAAAACATGGCGCGCGTGCTGAAAAACTTCAAAGGCGGCATCTGAGAGTGGGCATTCTGATTGTTTATTATTCTGTGCTTTTGATTTGATCAAGATTTGATAAGATTTTGTGAATATACTATAAAACCTTTCTTTATGTAACAGTAATAAAAAAATGCAGACTGAATATTAATATCAATGTCGAAAATATTTCAAAATACGAAAAGAATGGTTATATGCTATATATTTGTACATTTTACCCATTCTAAAACAATTATTTGGGGTTTACTAAGTTCCTTTTTTGACATTTTTACGCTGGTTAGATGTGGCGAAATTCAACATTGTTTTAATAATCAATTGACTAAATATTCTTTTATATCATTGAGCAAATGTCAATAAACTATAAAAAGTTTAACAAATCATCTATACCGAAATACATACATCAGATAAAATTTAACAACAGGTGCTGTATTTGTAGGAAAATCATATTACTGTAGTATACAAAGAGTATGTCGTAAAAGTGGACCTTTTTGGAATCTCAATTTTCTTGCAAACCTCGTCTGTGGCTCAGTGGTAAGAGCGCCTACCTTTAAACCTAAAGGTCGTGAGTTCGAATCTCATCTGGGTGAAGAAATTTTCGTTTATTACAAATTAATGAATGAAAATAATTTCTGTCCTTGTGCGGTCGGTACTCACCGGAGGGACTGCAGACGTTCGGATACAATTAGCGTCTCTTATGACGTCGACTTTGCTAAGTATCAAGACAATTACTCTACACACATACATACACACACTACACTAGGTACCTGACTGTACCATGCCAATGACCATTAGTTGTCGAGGCATTAACACAATAAAAAAAAATTCTTGCAAATATCTTTTAGTAAAATATATTTTTTTACTGTACTATTCTACTCTATTTACTCTACTACTTTCATGACAAATTTTCGAGAAACGTTTGAAGAGTTCAAATTTGTTTATATATTATATTTTAAAAATGACATAAAGTAGCTAGAAAAATACAAATATTTAGTACTTGCCCTACAATGGCAATATTTCAGCTTTAGCTACAATTTTGTCATCTGTTTAGATCAACAATTGTGCATATCATCCTAAAAAATGTTCTACCTGCTATTTTTAGAATAGACGATGAGATAAGTAAACAGGTCATAGATGTACATTAAGGAATTACATTAATTTGTTAGAGTTCTTTTATTATAACGAGAACAGTTTTCTCTACTCAATTGTAAGCAAATAAAGATGTTTGACATTATTATATTTTATCGAATATAGAATCAATTTGTGATTATATACCTTTCAAAAAATTAAACATAGACCATTTATCACGTAACTATAAGAGTGTTATTTCAAAAAACTTAACCATTTCCGTTTTCGATAATTTAGGAGAAGCCACAGAGATTTTAGATGAATTGTACTTTGCATGTTCGAATGTGGGCCTCAGAATGAACTAAGTTTATGACAAATGTGGTCCCCAATAACCATTTAACTATCCAAAATAAAAGAACTGGTGGAGATGCGTACCCGCATGTAAGCATTAATTAAACAGGTCGCTTACTGATTTTAATAAAATTTCTCCACCTGCTTTTATTGCCTCATTTAGATTTTACTCAAATGTCACTTAAATTTAGAGGTTTGGGGTTATGTTTCTAAAGTTTCGGCTATATTTTTTATGTATGCTTCTGGATGATTTGGTGAATTCCAAACTATGCGTTTGCAACTGTTTATCATCTTTGCTCTTTCTTTTTGTAGATTTTTCGTTATTCTAGCTCTTACTGGTCTATGGTCGCTTCCTATTGATAGTTTATTGAGTACAGTAACATCTTGAATAATTTGCTTTTTGTCTGTTATTATATAACCATATTCGCTCTTAATTCTTCCATCTGGACTAGCCCACGTCCATTTTCTATTCTGTTTTTTCTTAAGAAAGGTGTTTATTGCATACAGTTTGTATTGCAGTAGAAAGTTGGCAAGCATTTCGCCTCTTTCGTTTCTTACTCCGAATCCAAAATCTCCGATTGCCACTTCTTGTTCGTCCTTTTTCCTTCCGAGTTTCCCGTTAAAATCTCCCATTATCAGATTGTAATGAGCCGGTTCCTGCTTTTCTCCTCATAGAAGGCTTCGACAATTTCATCTTCCTAATCGCTGGTGGGGGCGTATACCTGAATTATTTTCAGATTGTATCTCTTATTTAGTCTTAGATTTATATACATAACTCTTGGGGAAATGCAGTCAATGCATTTTTTGTGTACTAATAAACCTGTTCCTCCAGTTGTCGATTCCGTTTCCCCTTTATAGTGGAATATGTTTCCTGATTTTAGTTTGACCTGATCTTCACCTCTTCTTTTGACTTCGCTAATTCCTATAATATTCCATTTCACATGTTTGAGTTCTTCCTTCAGTTCTGTCATTTTTTCATCCTTAGATAAGGTTCTTACATTATAAGTAATTATAATGCCACCTCATCATTGTGAGCTTAATCTAATAGAGTTGATATGGGCTCAAATCAAAGGTAGCGATGCTCGAAATAAAGCAATATCGGACGGAATAACAGAAAATTGAAAAAATATAGTAATACCGTTTTCTAAATTGAAAAGAGCATGTGGGAACTTGATCACTTTATTGATAGCAGAATAGAGCCTATAATAATTTCTCTTGTAGCGGACGACAATGTGCGGAGAGTCAGTGACCAAGATCAAAACCAACGTCAATAGCAGACATTTGGAGAAGAGGCAATTCTAGAAGATTCGCAAAAAAAAGGTAAACAAGGACAAAAGCTGCATCACCACAGGTTACCCCATTTTCCAGAGCATCCAAAATAAAAAAAAGCAGGAAAGCCCCCCCTCCCCAGGGATATCTCTGCGAGGGATGTGGATGGATGTTTGGGGTACCGTCTCCACGAGACGTGTTTCTTCGATCTTTGAAAATGAGAATACCTTAGTCTGTAAATCTCCCTGGAGCTCCTCTGGAAAAGGACCCCAGGAGCTAGGATTTACTTTGTTGTGTATGTGTGTGCGTGTTCCTTACTTTTAAAATACATTATAATCTTATTGATTATTCACTTTATTGATACTAAATCTTAGAAATTTTTTGAGGAACGATTTTCATATTTCGATTTTCAGACGTTTTTTTTAAAGCAATTTTTTTAAATTCAATAAATAATTTGAGTTTTTTACGTTAAAAAAAAAACAAAAAAACTAGTTGTACCTACTAATTTTCGAATGAGTACCGATCCAATAACTATTAGAACTTCTTGTTTTATAAAAAAATTTTCATACGCAGTACCTAAAATATTGTATTGAAGTTTTATTTGATTACTTAGATATTGGATGGAAAATACAAACAAAAACAAGAATACTGCAACTAATATCAATTTTCCTACAAAAATTGTTCCGTAATAAGTGACACAGATATAAAATGGCACTATTATCAACAATTGCTTGTATATACTTCTATAAAATACCAATATTTTTTTAAATTTTATATAATAATAGATGTCTACCAATTAAGGACCTCCTCACTTTTTTTAAATGTCTTAATACGAAAAAGTGTATGGAAAAGCTATAACATAATTAAAAATATCAGTAATTAAAAGATATATGATACAAACAATACCATATTTAATTACAAAAATCGATGAAATTAAATATTCATTAATTTACGTTCCCAAAAGTCGCAATACTTAATCTCAATGTACACAATAAACTGAAATTACGTGATCAAGCAGAGCACGTTAGTTGTTAGTAGTTTTTAAATTATCCATAATAATTTTCTACAAATTCAAAACACCACAGTCTTAATCTAGAAACATTTCAAGAGTTTGATTTTAATAATTGAAAAAAAAAATTGTCACGATAGACTAGAAATTCTTCGTTGTAGGTGTCAGTTGCTATCCCTCGTTTTAAAACAATGTATAGTGTCAGAAATTTAAATCCATATTGAAAGAGTGGTCCATATAGGTAAAAATGATAGGGTTGGCGGAGAAAAAATAAAAAATCTAAACGACAGCTATAAGATCTATCGTGATATATTAAAATACAGAAACTAAATCAGAAACATCCAAATCCACGAGACTGACGAAAACAACTGGAGACACGTATCAGGCAAAGAACGAAGCGAAAGCAAAATAAAATAAATTTCAATATAGGCGTACTATAAAGATATTAACACAATGGAAGAAGAAAAACTAGTGAAAATTAAATAAGATACAGAAATTGACTACCTGTCTATAACGACACCTAGCATTTAGCTGTAAAGCTATGAAAATGAAATATTTGATGACACAACTTTACTCAATCAAAAATTCAAAGATTCCAAAATAAAATCATAAACAACGCATGTTTACCATTAAAGTATTACTACTTTCAATGGGAATAAGCCAAAATTTAAGTTTAAAATCAGGTTATTTTGACGTTTCTATTTCCACTTCGGAAACCCTTTTTTGATAATTTGTGTGTTGGACATTTTCTGTTTAACTAAGATTTGTTTATGAAATTGTTTATGCGCGAAGCAGATGCGCATACAGTTTAAGTCTCGAAGAATTTTAATTGTTGTAATAACTGTACGCGCGAATCGGATGCGCGTACGATTCAAGCCGCGAAAGTCAAAGGTCAAAGTCGACCAAAGTGGCTTCCTATCTACTCGATTTCCGAAGTAAAAATCGAAAAGTCAAAATTTAACTTACATTAAAGTTAGATTGTGGCTTATTCTCATTAGAAGTAGTAATTGCATTAAGATGTCCCAACAAAATAGCTTCAGAACATCATTATATTATATATCAATAAAATACTGAAAACTTTGCTTTCAAAACTTCCACAAAATTTATTATAAAATCTTATCACTACAGCTGTTTCGGCTGATCTCAAGTGATTTATTTTTGGTATGTGTTTACACTTAATAGTTTTTAACGAAATAGGTTGGGTTGAGTAGGAGACACTTGTTTGTCTTAAGTTGGTCATTAAGAATTATGTGTGTTATTTCATTTGTTAAGTCCCATAGATTTAAGTAAAGATAGCTTAAGGCCTTTATTCTGGATGTGAAGAATTTGAAATTCGGCCTTAAGAGATTATGATCTAGAAAATGAAGTGCGCATGTAGAATCTGTTTTGCTATTATTGAAAGCCCTTTTATGTTCTGCTATTCCTTTATTAAAGTTTCTACTAGTTTGACCGATGTAAGTTTGACCGTGCTTTTTATTTTGACTTGTTGTTGTTTATAGGCAAATTTCCTTAGGCAAATATATTTGCCTAAGTTGTGGCTTGTTCTAAAAGCTGGTGTTTTAGAAGGTACTGGAAGGTAATGTACTACCCAGAAGGTACTGGGTAGAATTAATATACGATAAAAATTGGCCAAGTTGCGTGTTAGTTCCTATAAAACATACCAGTATATCGTCTACAAATCTCCACCAATACAGGATGTTTTGAAATCTTTGTCTCTAAAACAAACTTTTCAGGGTTTTATTGATATATCAAATGAATTTAAATAAATTAACTGCTGAATCCACCACTTATCATTATATTATGTTATTTGATCAGATTGTAGTCTAATAAATTACCGTTCAAGGGATATTTGGAGAAAAAAATCTACTATCGACGCTTTGAGTGTATAAAATTTAAATAACTACAAATGTGATCACGTTTTAATAACAACGGTCATTCTACAATGGGGACAGCTAAGGAGGTACCAAAATAAGAAATCATAAACATAATTTTAACAAAAAACAATACATGTGCTTATAAAAACAAGTGCTATTTAATTAAAATAGAATATTTACATTTTTACTGTAAATATTTAATTTCCTTTCATATAATTTACAAATTTAACAAAGGTTATTTAATAGATTTTGGAATGTAAAATTATGTATAATAAAATTTTAGAGGGGACTACTTTCTGTTATTAATTTATAATGTCAAGCCAGTCCGATAATAAAATAAATAAATATTTGTATTGAAAACATCAGTATACACATTATTTACTTTATAGTTAATTGCACATCATCAAATTTTGACGCTGACATTTTTGCACAGTGTTGCAGTATTGTCGGAATAGCAAAGAATATAGGAAATTAGAAATATATTTATTAAAACGTTACAATTATTATAAATTTATTTTCGAACTTATTTTCGCATTTTAATTGAATGAAATACAGTAAATATTAGCTTGTTCACAATATTTTAGGTTGTCTCCATTACAAAAACTTTTTGCTTCTAAAATTAGACATGGTCTCTGAAAATATTACCAACAATGTCTAACTGTCATTTTGCATTACGTAAATAGACCTTTTCATCATGTGTCGAGCGCATGCGCGGCCGCCATGTTTTTCGTACCGTTTTGATCAACCAAAGAGAAGTTAGGCATCTTCACTTGTTAGAGATATTTTTCTTCGTTATTTGTTTACTCTACAAATATTGTCTATAATTTTTTAATCTAATTAATGATGTCAATCGATTTTCATTACTTGTCGAAATATATTAATTAACAACAACATTATTACAGTGTATAATCAATAAAATTGATAATTTAATATTTTAAGGTTAAAAATGATTAATGAATAGTAAATATTATTAAACAGATATAAAATATTGTAGGTATTGCACGAGATTGTTTATCAAGAAACTTTTGGCTTTAAAAAATTGATAAAATAATATATTTTGTCTTTAAATAATTTATAGCATCTATCACTATTATGTACTCCATAACGACATCGCTTCGATGTTCCTTTTTCGAACAGGTATCATAATAATAATTGATTAAAAAGATTGATTTGCAATTGAGACGTTTTATTCCCTAATTCCGTATTTTTTTCAATAACTATACTTTCTTTAGTATTATTTATTCTAATTATGTGTTTGCAAGTATTTTATTGTTATTTATATTACTAACTTAACCTAACATGCTTATTTATAGGTAACAAACAGTACGAAGAAAATGGCTGATACAAATTTCTGATGAAAAGGCCTATTAAAGATAAGGCAGCGTACTGCTTTTCTCAATTATAATTTTTGAGTAGTAATTTTTTCTAGAAGTTTTATTTTAATGAAAATATATAATGTATGTAAGTCAAAATAACTAATGTAATTCTAAAAATTTTGTTAGGGAATTTTCTAAAAGTTGTTTGTACTGTGACGACGTAAAATATTGATGATATGCAATGAACTGTGTTCCTAACCTAACCAATCACCAGCGATAAAAATTCAAAGATTTACCAAATATTTTAAGTCCGATATATCTTTTTAATCAATTACTTCAAGGGCATAACAAAAGTAAAAAATAAAAAATAGAAGAAGTTATAAATATAACAAAGCAATACAATTTTCAAAGAATGTCTAAAATGTTATGAGTGTCTTAATTAATTTTTTAATGTTGCTAAAATTTGAACGGTTCGCAGTAATCTTGAAATAACGTCAGGGGTACAGTCCACCGATCAAAAAGACAAAAGAGAGAATCTAATCGTTATGAAAAGGAGACCAAAATTCATAAAAGTGGCCTCTTAATATGGCGGACATATCCGGAAATGCAAAGGCGACAAATTTAAATTTTCCGACACTTAGTAACAGTATCTATATAATATTTTTCAGAATGTGTCTTAGATGAGAAAGTTTTAATTAAATATTAACGATAATAGTTTAAAATGTGACACAATTGTTAAAAAACATCAATATAAATAAGATTTCATGTGACAGTTGTGACAAACAATAGCATAAGCCTACAGAATTTGATTACTTAAACAAGGAAAGAGACTTAAGACTCTTTCCTTGTTTAATGTGGCCTCTCAAAATATCACTTCCCGTCTAACAATATTTTTGCCTCCACTACCTTTACATTTCCTCTTCTGTCTTTTTGCTCGAAGGTACAGTCATACATGTTGGCAACATAGCTGACACAGTTGCACAATATGTTGTTATAGTCCATTCACCCAGGTTGGGAACATTTTGACACAATCATTGTCGACAACATGCAATACAAAAATTCCTACCTCACTACCACTAATAGCTCAAATAAACTTAATGTACTTAATGTAACACACTTTTGAAGACAGAAAAATAATCATAATTAATGGGAGTCTATATTTATTAATTTTAGTTAAAACCTTTCTATTTGTAAGTACCAATCTATAAACGACTCTAGCCTACTTGGCCCTTTCCTTCTGTATCTAATATTTACTGCAGATTTTTCCAAATTGACGCGACGGTACTATAAAGGCTCTAGTGGACTTAATAATACTATATGGGTAGCCTTTTAAGATGATTACAAAAATGGAAGACAGCAGTTTGGGAATCAGGCACCAGTTTTGAGTTCAAGGTACAAAATTTCATTCCTGTATTTTTATTTAGTCTTCTGTAAAATATGTAGAAATAATTAACAAAATAAGAGACAGAGATCGTGAGTCACTAACAGTCGCCAATATTTACCGGGTTTTTTAAATTTAAATTGACTTCACAATTCAGAAAAATGAAAAATAGCTTCGTCAGTCTATAAACTTGATATGCAATGTCAGTACCGTTAGTTTATGGATTTTTTAAAGTATGTATGCAGAAAGTCCTCGGTGTTGTTAACTGAAAAATCCAAGCAAGGGACAGAGCAAAATGAAGCAGACAGCTTGAGGCTTGATGACGATGATGCAGACAATTATTTTCTCAATATTTGTCCTATAATTAGGAATTGGAGCAAGTTCTGAACGTATCATACCAGATTATGGGAAGTTCTAAATATAAAAAGCAGAAAGGTTAGATAGCTAAGCGAACCAGGCGGACGAATCGCATTCACTTTACTGAGTGATCTAGTGGATCGATCATTCAAACTCTGGCCCGAAAATGAAAAGGCTAGTGTAGTAGTGTAAAATTCAAATAGATCTGTTACTTAGACTAGAATATGCTGGTACGACCTATGGATAAGCAGTACCGCAAGAGATAAAGGCTTGCGTCTCGTTGTAACCCACTCCATAGATTCATACCAGACGAGCATGTACGCTTAAAAACTGGAATGTAGATAAAAAGAAGCAGACCACCTCAGGTCACCATAAATAACAATCCTTTTACCTGGAAGATTGAGGTCAAATATCAATTCATATGGAAGAGAAAATGACTTGGAAGACACACATAAAAACAAAAAGTCACTTTAAAATTAAAAATATATTGGTGACTGGACATCTTGGACCAAATTGTGGGGTTGCAGTAAGCTATCAAATACTCAAACGCTTATTTTCATTCAATTTAAAACACTTCGTATGATATCTGAAGAAGTTTGGTATGAAACAAAGCAAAAATTACAAAATCGAATAAATAAAATTTAATAAAACTCATGTTTGACCAATACTGAAATGTGTCTGTGAAGATTGTGTCCGTTAAAAACCTACTAAAACACATATTCATTCCCCTAATTCCACCGTGGAGTAGATTGTAAACTTACTTGCATTATAAAAAAAGTAAAATGTTATAATATTGTAATCTTGGTATTGTATGAATGGTAGAAACTATTAGGATGCTACAGCTGCTAATTGATATATCTACTAACTATTAAAAATATCTACCTAAAAAGTCTATTGAGTAAAATCGTAATTAGAGTAGGTTATGGAATTTACATTCAAATGACGCAGGTTGGCAATTCAAACATTTCAGCAATCATAAATAGTATGTATTCACATTTAACAAACCACAACTGTCACGTAAATAAAGAGATGTTAATTAAAATTTGTATTAATAAAATAGCAAACAAGTTATGTATACCATTTTTCAAAGTAAAACACTTGCACGTCACGATTTATACTAAGTATTTAAAATTTCCAGAACATCAACCTTAGAGTTCAAATTTTCCTAACACAGCTAATAATACGAAACCCGTACGGAACTGCTCGATCTTTCATAGGCATCAACATGGTGCAATAATCAGAAAAATATAATTATCATTATATTGGAAATTTTAGAATTATATTGATTAAATAACCAAAAACATTTATTATTATTAATAATATAGATTATATGAAATAACACTTGAAGTTTAATATTCCACAAAATAATAATTTTAATTAAATATATTAGACAATTGTACGCAACTGATGGAAATACATAAAATATTATTGACAGTTCAGCGTGTGGCAAAAGTGTATAAAGTGTTGCCGCTTCTTTAGAGTAGGAATTTTGTTTATGTTGTGATATCTTACATAATTTGATCATAATACAATATATATTAATACATTGTATTTATAAATACATATTAAATTTAAATTAATAGCTTTAAAAACTAATTATTGTTGTGTAGTGTGATTGTGATATGCCAAAACAAATAAATAGTCTGTAGAAAGCTGATAAGCTTTCATATAAGATAGATTATTTTGATCAACACATAATGGCGGGACGTTTTTACTATTACAGCCCTAAAAGAGGTAAGTTTGAAATTTACAATATATAATTTTATATTAAAATGTTTTCTTATGTATTTAATGTGTTGCAATAGTCTTAAAACAAAGTGTATTTTTGACAAATAGTTGACATTTTAAAAATTTCTCACTTACTAACCATTCTGATGTTTTTGCAACGCTGTGGGGTTCTAACGACGTAAATCTTGAATGGCGTGCAAGCTTTTTTATATGAAAAATGCTATACTATTTTGTGAAAGTGGTTAAAATTCTAGATCATGTAATTTTTATTTCACAATCTATTCTAATTAGATTTTTTTAGTTTACTACTTTAATTAGCTTTTTTGACGGTTCTAAACAATGAATCTATGGAAAACTGAGCAATTGTAAATGTTGACAAAGGCACGACGTCATCAATTGTGTATGTATGTGTGTGTCTGGCATCGAGCAAAAACACAAAAGAGAGTATCTAATCGTTATGAAAAGGAGACCAAAAAAAGTGGCCTCTGATGGTTAAGTATGGGGGTTAAACACTTAAAATACTTTTTTTAACCTAGAACACAATAAAGTTTTAATTAAATAATAACGATAATAGTCTAAAATGTGAAACAATTGTTAAAAAACTTCAATAGAAAATACAAATAATCTTTCATGTGACAGTTGGGACAAACAATAATATCAGTAATAACCCAACTAAATTTGATTTCTTAAACAAGGAAAGAGAGTCTCTTTCCTTGTTTAATGTGGCCTCTCAAGATGGCACTTCCTGTCTAACAATATTTTTGCCCCCACTACCTTTACATTCCCTCTTTTGTCTTTTTGCACGATGGTGTCTGGGCATTTCACTCGCCATTTTAACATTCCAGTTAAGTATGGTACTAATTGACATTTAACAAGGCACAGAATTTCTGATAGCACGCTTATATCAGTCTTACAGTAACATTATATCCAATTACGCCATTTTTTACAAATAACCCTAACCAAAAACTTAACAGTGAAGGTAAAATATGTACACAAAAGAAATAGGTAACTACTTGTCAATCAATATGATTATTAACGATATACATATATGTGAAAAATACCACATAAGGGTATTTTTAATGTACTAGATAATTTTGAAAATGTTTTGTGTTGATTTGGAAATTGTTCACAAATATTTAAGACCTTCTTTAGGCATAGATGAAAAATATTCTAAGGAGTGCTCTGTCCATTATTAGAAATGTAGAGATCCTATTTAAAAATAAGTATTTCCTTTTCTCTTTACTTTGTGAAGAATATCATAAAAATGACTGTTAAATTTATAGTAATATATTTTATCTTCTAAAAAAGGACAGTTCATAATTCTCCACAAGCAAAACATTTCCAGTATACAACAAACTTCTAATAAACTTTGAAAAAAGTCCATAACCTAAAAACTATGCTGTTCCTCCTTCAGCGGCTCTTCTTTGAACGATATCGGATAATGCGATACGGCATCGTCCAATGGCACCATCTCACGTAGTCCTAGTACGCTAGATGGTGGGCCAGATGGACTAGCCACGTTACTGTTGATCAAGTGATCCTGTGGGCTATTGGGTGTAGCTAGAGGCGACGTGATGGGACTATCAGCTGAGTCACTGGTGCTCTGATAGCTATTGTTGTTGTTGTTGATGTGATTGTTGTTCGGGACGACCAAGGCCGGTGGAGTGGCGTCGATGCTGGCGCCTAGAATCGGTTCTGCAATTAATTAATTGATGTGATGATTTATGATAATGGATGTTATTTGTATGTGTTAGTAAAGCAGTTTCAAATCGGTATATACTTTGTATATGTTTATGTACCAATGAAAAGGTCTACGGATTAGAAGAAGAACTATCCAAGATAAAGTGGGATATTGTAAGACTATCAGAAGTGAAAAGAAGAGGCGAACAATGCATGCATCTAAACTCTGGAAATCGCCTATACTATACAGGAAAAATACACTTAACATATGGTGGAGTAGGATTTCTTGTCAAAAAGTATCTCACATCATACATTCTTACATATCAAAGCGTTTCTGATAGAGTAGTTTATATTATAATAGACCTAGATAATAAAACCAAGATCAAGCAAAATTAGGTAAAAAGAAGAAAATACTGAAGTTAAAATAGGGATGCATGGTTATGGCACACGAAAGAAAAGAGGAGAAAAATTATATAACTTCTTAGAACAACAAGAATTATATGTCATTAGCAGTGGACATACACTTTAAAAGAATTTGTAGAGCATTATCAACAAGAATGTTGATATGAATGTTGAGCCCTGGCCTCCCCCAGGGCTCCGTACTTGCACCGCTGCTATTTAGTATGTATATAGCTGATATGCCCCCTACTAGATCTAAAAAATTTGGATATGCAGACGACTGGGCACTTGCAACTCAAAGCTCCTCAATACAAAACTCCGAGGCAATCCTAACGGAAGATTTGGAACGCCTGGTTAAGTACTTTAAACAATGGAGACTTAAACCTAACCCCAAGAAAACCGAGGTTAGCTGTTTTCACCTGAACAACAAAATGGCCCACACAAAACTTAAAGTATACATTGATAACCAACTGCTCACGCACAACTATAATCCCAAGTACCTCGGCGTCACCCTGGACAGAACACTCTCCTTTAAGAAACATCTTGAGAACACCGCAGCAAAGCTGAGAACCCGTAACAACATCATACAGAAGCTTTGCGGGACTATATGGGGCTCATCAGCAGGTACACTTCGGTGTTCAGCTCTTGGACTCGTATACTCCGCAGCTGAATACTGCTCTCCTGTTTGGCTGAATAGCGTTCACACAAAAATTATAGATACCCAGCTCAATGTCGCCATGCGTCTCATATCTGGAACGATCAAGTCTACACCTGTGGAGTGGCTTCCACTACTGAGCCATATACCTTCACCTAATCTCCGTCGTCAGCATGCTCTGCTTAGAGAATTCCAAAAGCTGCTTAACAACCCGCAATTACCTATACACACATATGTCGCCGACGCTAATTCACATCGATTGCGCTCCAGAAAACCTCCGACTAGAGATGCAATAAACTTGAGTTCCAACAATTTTCAAATGAACTCCCAGTGGAAGAACATGCAGAGCGACAGACCGAACCTAATAATGAGAAACACACCATGCATCACAGAAATTCCACCAGGTTTTGACCTCCCCCGAAAATCATGGTCAACTCTTAACAGGATAAGAACGGGTCATGGAGTCTGTACAGATTCTCTTTATAAATGGAGGATGAGAACCTCTGCTGAGTGCGAATGCGGCGCCGAGAAACAGACCATCCAGCATATGATTGCCGAATGCTCTCGGAGGAAGTATTACGGAGATCCTCTAGACTTCGCCTCTGCAACACCAGCGTTGATTGAATATATTAATACATTAGATGTTAGATTGTAACATATATGTGATAATGTTGTGTATCAAATTGCCATACGCTAAATAAAAAATAACAAGAATGTTCCGACATGAATACAATTAATGAAGAAATGCAACGAAAGCTCTTGAAAGCAGGACTGACTGTTGCAAAAAAAAAACGAAAATAAAGAAGACAGAATAACTGATGGAACAAAACGGTTGATGGAAAAGAGACGCACATTTCTAAGCGAAGGAAAGCGAAACACCGATGGATTCAAAGAATTGAATAAACAAATAAAGAAGATTTAAGGATCTATAATGAAAACAATGCAGAAAAAATAATAAAAAAGAACCAAGGCTTGAAATGCATAAGATCAAACTTAGGAAAGCCTAGAATAATCTCATTGAAGGATAAAGATGGAAAAGAAATAAGAGAAAAGAACGAAATCCTAAAAGTTACTCAAACATTTTACCGTGATTTATAAGCCTCAAATAAGAATCCAGATAACACTGCAAAAGAAGATCTTAAGAGAAAGATAACAAGTGTCAATTCAGAAATACTCCTTAACATAGAATCTTATAAAAATGTTTAAGGAGTGGAGTGAAATTATTCTCGAAAAATTGAAAATTTTTTTCAACGAGTGTCTTCACAGAGGAGAAGTCCCAGATGATTGAAATGAAATAACTTATACATTGGCTTCATTGATTACGAAAAGGCATTCGACTCCATAGAACTTTGGGCAATAGAGAGAGCTATGAACAACTGCAGAATAGACTCCCGATACAGAATGCTCATACATAATATTTACAAGAAAGCTACAATGAAAATACAAATAGATACTAAAACCAAAGCTATACCAATCACCAGAGGAGTTCGCCAAAAGCTATTCACACTTTGACTGAAAGACGTGTTTAAAGACATTAACTGGGCAGATAAAGGTCGACACTTATATTCGATACATTTCGAAGAACTACAGACCCAGTCTAATATGGATAAAATAGTAAAGGCACAAAGAGCGATGGAAAGATCAATGTTCGGGGTGAGACTTATAGACACACAAACAAACAAATGGATTAGAAGCAAAGGACACAATGCCCCACTAAAGGATAAAAGGTGGAACTTCGAAATACAAAAATGGAGACCATGGTTAATAAAGAGAAGCAGAGGAAAACCACAAATTAGATAGGTTGATGACAAGAAGATCGGAGAACACAAATGGAAGTAAGTGGTGCAAAATAGAAGACACTGGATTGATTTGGGGGAGGCCTATGTCCAAAGTTAAAGCTGAAGAAGAAGTACCAAATTAAGCAAAAGTTTACTCTGAAATTTCTACAGCATTTTATGCATGGTCTTTAATGTAATAATAATCCCCATATTGTTTCAGTTATTAAGTTCAAAATATTGCACAAAGCATTATACAAAATCCCACGAATAGCTACACCTTAGTTGGACAGCTAATCAACTGTGAAATTGTGAACTTGTTCAGAGATCAAGCCCTTGACCAAGCAGTTATTTATAGGGCGATAAAAAACAGGTACAACATCTCCAAAACATGGTTGGTGAAGAAATTAAATTAAAATGCAAAGAAAAAAGAATGTTTATACGAAATATACATAGCAAATAACATAAAAAGATTACAAAGAGTATAAGGGGATGTACATGACAAAAATTATCGTAAGAAATGGAACATGATTTGTACAGATTGATAAATGATACGTGGAAATGCGTTAAAAAGCAAGGGCATTAAACGAAAATGAAATTCTTAATAGAGCGAAACATACTACCAAAGATAAATGCAGACTATATAATAGAATTACAAGAAGCCCAATCGAAACTAAGAAATAACAATACTCGGAAGAAAGTGGGAATGAGCTTCTAAAAGATGGATAAACACAACTTGAGCTTGAGCCGTCGATATAAAAAGAAGCAATGTGATTACTCTGATTAATAGACTTGATTGATCATAATACAGTCAAACATACAATCTGCCCAAATACCAAATACACACCCAGTATGCTCAATTGACAAATCACGAACCAGCTTTACCAAAACTCCCGCTCTCCAATCTCCAGGTATACCACCATCGTCTCCAGGAGATACACGAAACAAGAGAAAAAGATTGCCTCAGCCACAGAATAATAAACAATCAGAAGGGCCACTCTCAGATGCCGCCTTTGAAGTTTTTCAGCACGCGCGTCATGTTTTATTAGGACACAAACATATGATTTGTGAGGTTATGCAATTGTTTACATTTACAATTAATTATATTATATTTATGTTATTATATTTAAAACTGTTTATATAATTGTATAGTGATTGCCGTAAGTCAAATAAACCTGTTTTTTTTCCATGCACACCACATAAACAACACAGGTTCCCTTTAAAATCCTCGTAAAACATGGCGGAACGTCTGCGCGAAGGAGATGCGCGTACTTAATTTTCCTTGGAGAGTGGGCATTCTGTTTGTTTATTATTCTGTGCCTCAGCTAAGTTTCAGAGAGCAGCTGACGAACTCAGGGGCATTATAATTTACTTTAAAATAAGTTTATTTTGACGTTTTCCGAAATGAAATCGAAATGTCAAAATAAACTTATTTTAAAGTAAAATTGTGACTTATTCCCAGTAAAAATAATAAACTGTATTAACATGCCACAAGAAAATCATATCTGAACAATATTCATATAAAAAGTATATAAAATGTTTTGATTCAAATATTTTACCACAGTTTCTTAGGCTATACAATATTATTAATTTTAAAAAATTATGTATTTGATTTGGCTCACTTAGCATCTTTGAAGATCTTCAAGTCTATTCAAAGTCTTCTATTCAATCTATGACAAACTGTTCTATTCTTAAACTTTATATCCATATTGGACAGAGCTGATTTGAAATGATCTATAATCTGAAAAATAGAAAATTTCAAATCAGTGTAAATTGTTCCATACATAATGATTTTAAATAAGATATGTCTTACAATAAAAAACCACAAACATATCGCATTCAAGATTTTAAATTGTAGCGAAATGCAGCAAAAAACAGTTGGTTAAAGGTTAACCAAATAATTATATGATCTCCACAATAATTAATATCTTCCTCAATCTTAATTAATTAATATCAATAAGATAATTTTATTAAGTATATTTTCAACAAGTTGGTAATATCGTCTCGTAGATCAAGATATTAGATGTAAATCAAATTTAAATGATAAATAACAATACTCTTGTCTTCTCCTACCACTGTGTTACTTTTATCCATCCACAGTATTTTTTCTATGAACTTTTACGGCAAATATTTCAATTGTGTTGCAGCATTATTAGTTATTGCAGGTAGGTAACAGATGTATGTATGTCCTTCAAAACCATATAAACTCGAAACGACTAACAAGATACAACTACATAAAATAGTCATACTACCCGTAGTGATTATGGTAGCAAAACGTGAATGATAACAAAGGCAAACGAAGAACATTGTAGCATTTTATTTTTCTTGAATTTAAAATGTTTGTGAAAACTGTACATATACCTATTCGTACACTGTTTTTATTACGTAGTTCAGTTCCCATGCCATTAGTTCTCTCTGGGTGGGTTTACGTGATAAGTTAGTAATTTTTATCACAAAACCAACTGCATATTATAGACGCGGCTAGAGTATATTTCCTCCAAGAACCTAATAAAAATTTTGATATGAAAATTTTCAAGTTATCTAGAGAAAAGGGAATAAAACACACAAACGCATGTAATTTAAGCTCATTTCTTAGTTTGTTGTCGCAATGGCCGCTAATGTCAATTTAATAGTTTAATCAGTACAGTTCGCAGTAAAAATCCACGTATGTAGTAAGTTTATTTATTTTTTTGCCATTTCATCTAAACACAATATACAGATTTTTTCTTTTATTCATAGGGTTTTGTTTAATCCCTGGCTAATTTCTCAGCCGACATTCCTAAATTGTTTCGTAATTCGTAATAGAGTTTTTTTGTAGAGTTTTCATTTCAACAAATAAAGTAGCAACAGGAAGTAGAAGGAAATGTACTTCTTATTGAGTTATCCAAAGTACAAGAACGAGTAGCTGCTTCGACAAGTAAATTGTTGATATATTTATATTTTAAAAAATATATTACTGTTTTGCAATCTTAAATTACAATTTTTTTGTTATCAAATCAAATATAAAAGAGGTGTTGTTATGTAAAAATATGAATTAATCGAATGAGAGAAAAAAAGGTTTATTTATTATTAAATGTTTTTTAAGAACCTAAAGTGGTTCGTGAGGTTAAAAATGGAGAAACTCTTGGATTCTTTAAACTTGGATTAAACGAAAAAAAAGTCCTCAAAAATACAACTAGATGGATGTGATCACGGTATCTTATGGAGACAGATATATGTATAATTTTTATCTTAGCGATCTACAAGTTCCCACAATTAAGAAAATTTATCAGAAATTTGTAAGCGAACTGAATTACCTATGCAGGGAGTAGAGGAAGTATGAGAATTGAATTTCATACTCTTGGATTTCGCTGAAAAAAAAATAGTGGACAATAGAACAACTTTGATATAAAAACATGAATTTAGACATTTAAGGCTGCAATACCTGAGGAATGTTAGGGAAGCTAGAGAAAAAAATAAATTAGTAGTGACGAGTCATATTTCCAAAAACAATTGGTGTGGTAGCTGTAATAATAGACTTGGAAAACTCGTGTCAAAAGGGTAATGTTTAATTATTGTTGGGGCAGAAAATGAAAAAGGTTTTGTTCCTGAATCTTATTTGAAGTAGAAGTCGACTCCAAATCTGGAGATTACCATGATAACATGAACCTCACAAATTAAAAAAAAAATGATTTTAATAACAAGTTTTGAGTAACTTGCCTCCAAATAGTGTAATAGTGTTGGATAATGTACCATACCATAATACACAGGAAGATAAATGTTCCACATTCTCATCGAAGAAGTGTGTTATGCAGGCATGTCTTCGAGAAAAAATATTCCATACACTGTTTCTATGTTGAAACTTGATCTGTATAACATAATAAAATTGCATAAAACTCGTGATGTAAAATATGCAATCGATAAAATTATAGGAGCACATGATATTATGTATTTAGACTGCCACCATACTATCCCGATTTGAACCTCATTGAAATGGTTTGGGCAGCTTTGAAATGCTATGTGGGAGCCAGAAATATAGACTTTACATTTACGTCAATACAGCAGCTATCGGACGATTTTTTAAAAACATTTCCTGTGGAAAAATGGAGAAAAAATAACTGAAAAAGTCATCGCAACTGAACGTGGACTAATATGAAAAGAGTCATTAATTGATGTAGTCGTGGATAATATGGTTATCAATGTAGACGAAGGTTCAGACAGCGAAGATTTTCAATCAATTTAAGTGGGTGTAAATATTCTTTAAAATACTATTTGTGTTTTACGATCAATTAGGGACACACTTGTATGACCAATTATATTATTGAATTCGTACTAATTGATTTATTAAAAAGAAGTTACGTTTTTTTTGAGAATTTTATGTATTTGAATTAAAGTATGTGATTAATTTTATATTTTGCATTTTGCATTTTTTTTATTAATTACAAGAATGTTTTTCTTTCTTTTTTTTGTAATATTTTATAAGATGGACCAAATAGCTTTTTGGGGCATTGAAATATTACAGTCTAAAGTATTTTATTTGTTTTGTATTTCATTTTACTGAAATAAAGTCCCAAAGACTCCAGTTGGCAGGACACCCCAAAAGACATTCCGAGAAAAAAATACCAAGGCTGGTATGGAAAGAAGTCCCAACTGGAAGAGGACTACGTGGACGACCTCCACTCCGGTGGCGAGATAACATAGCAGGAATAACTATGCATATGTGCCAAGTTCCTGAAAGGAGTAACGAAGAAGGCGAAATAAGATACATATGATAATTTTCTAGTCTCTCTAATAACTGAAATAAACTTACTGATGTAGACATCCTTAATTGAAAAAAGAAGATTAATCATGAATAATGAGAACGTTTATTCATTATTTTGCTTAAAAACTTTCCATTTGTAAGCAATAATATACAAACGCATGATAATTTTTTAGTTTGAGCTAAAACTAATATTGGCTCGAGTGATTGGTTCTATAGTATCTTTCAGCTCACTTCCAGTCAAAGTTATTTGCCCAATGTAGCAAAGAATTAAGTACTTCATTTACTAGACAGTTGGGTCTGGATTCAGTGAAAAGATTATATAGGATAAACACTTTTTATCCCGTGTCATATCGAATGGAAAAGTCATAATAAACAATTAAGATATTTTTGACGACAACGAACTGAAACAACGATCTCAAATGACATGGACAGTATTTTACTGCGTTTAGCATATTTCTTTGTTATTTAAAATTATACATTTTTTTTATATAAATCGGTTAAAAACTGTGGTAAAATATAATTATGTTTGTGATACGTGATACACCACGATATTCATATTATAAAATACCCATCCAATGATCTAATAAAACAGAAGAAAAAAAAATATTATATACCTCCAAGGAGCATCTCCTGTAACAAACTATCGATGTGTGCTACTCCAAAAAGCTTTGCAAACTGGATTTGTTCGATCATTTGCCACGTTATCGATTGTAGAGGTGGAAGAGTCAGCAATAATTCTCCAAAGCGGCCTCTGCTGTCATATTGACGATCGCTGATGTAATCTTCAAGATTGATTTGGATTTGATATCGAAGAGTTTTGATTCTGGATGGTTCGCTCAATCCTTTAGCATCTACAAAGCAATACGAATGATTAACTATATAACATTTAGAAAACGACATAAAGCACACACATTTAAAATTTAACAAGTACTGTTTTTAACCGTTGTTCATCAAAGTAATTTTGGAGTAACAATTTTGGCACGATATTTTTAAGATGAGATTAAGCCATAATTAATTTAAATTGTAATTACATTTTTTAGTTTGCTTTGAGGTTTCGATTTTCAATCTGTAAAATATAACAATTTATAGGTTAAAGATTGTTTTCAACTTCTAGCAATCAACTTTTACTTAAACATTTTTGAAAACGATATTTTTATAATATTTATTGAAACTTCTCTATTATACAGAAGATGGATGAGTTTTACTCTATAAAAAGCCTTATTTAGGTCAATCAGACACAGAAATGCTGGTCTATTATATTCCAGTGATTTCTAAGTAATTTGCTTTATAACGAATATTGCATCTGTACACGATCTTCCACTACGAAAACCCTGTTGTTCATTTGCTAAACTTCCTATCCTCTGATTTATTAACTTGTAAAATTTTAGTTGTAAGTTTTAGGGTAGTATTTAACAAGTTTATACCTCTGTAGTTTTCTGGCTGTTTTCATCTCCTTTTTTGAATATTAGAATTAATCCGCTCGTTCTCAATTTTCCGGTATTTTATTGTGTTTTATAATTTTATTAATTAATGTTGTTAATTGTTCTGTCATAGCTGCTCCACACTATTTTAGTAGTTCATTTGGTATTCCGTCTTTACCTACTGCTTTTCTGTTCTTCAGCTTTTCAAGTATTTTACGAACTTCCTGTACCGGGTGGTCCAATAAGCCGATTTCTCGGCTATATACCAGAAACTATTCATGTTATAAGTTTAGGAGAAAAAATTCCTTAGTAAAAGTGGTCAAGAGAAATCGCTGGAAATAACTTTAAAGATTCTGGATTAACCGCTAGGGGCGTAACCTGCGAAGAAAATTTTGAAAACCAGTTTTTTGGGAAATATGTCCAATTATACCAAGTGTTAAATAAGTAAACTAGAAAGGGACATAAATTCTGCACAAAGTTGTTCAAGTACTTTTTTTTATTTTTTTTTTAATAAAGGGTGGGGGAGAGTGGGAAAGTATTTGTGGATAAATACCTTTAACTTTAGTTTGGATCAACCGATTTTAATGAAATTAGTGTAATTAGAAAGAGTGTGGATGAATTAATTCACATCGACTATAAAATACTTGCATTTAGTTTTCATAGTCGTAGGTAGAGGGGACTTTCAAATAAAAAAAATTAAAACTTGTTTTTCTTTAAAATTTTTAATGGAAACACCTATTTATTGTAAATTATAATGGAACTGGATTAAATTCGTAACAAAATGGAGCAAACTGCATGTTAATAGCTTTTGTTGAACTCGAGATATGAATAAAAACTCATAAACATAAGTAAGTATAATATTGACACACCCTGTATTATAAATTACATTAAAAAATAAGTCAGTAGGTATTTTCAAATTTTTTTATAGCAGAAGAATCTTAATGTTGATACCTATTTTGTAAAAAATAGTTTTTCGAAACTAAGTAGGCTACGACAATGAATTTGACGGGGAGTTCATATTCTTTATTTATTGACAGCAGTCAAAACATTGTTAAGAAGTGCTATATTGTAATTTGAATTAAATATTGCACTTTTTTCAATAGATATTAATATTGGTAATATTAGTAATTAATTATGAGTACAAATAATTCGTGATGAGTATATCAAATTGTATGATCTGATTGAAGTTTATTTCGAAAGTCACCAAAATGCCGCTATTGCCTCACGTATATATTTTGTAAGATATCCTGACAGGAGACATTATGGCAAAGAAGTATTTAAAAGAAAGGCAAAAAGATTAAGAGAAACTGGTAGTTTTTCTCGTCCTTGTTTTAAACGACGTAGTAGAGTTATGACCGAAGATAATTCAATCAATGTTCTTGCTTTAATTCAACAGAATCCACATATCAAGTAGTCCGAAATCTCTACTTCTTTGCCACAATATCTCCTGCCAGGATATCTTACAGAATATATACGTGAGGCAATAGCGCCATTTTGGTGATATTCGAAATAAACTCCAATTATATCATACAATTTGATATACTCATCACGAATTATTAGTACTGATAATTAATTACTAATATTACCAATAATAATATCTATTGAAAAAAATGCAATTTTCAATTCGAATTATAATACATATTAACACTTCTTAACAATATTTTGACTGCTGTCAATAAATAAACAATATGAACTCCCTGTCAAATTAATTGTCGTAGCCTACTGAGTTTCGAAAAAACAATTTTTTATCATATGAAATAACAATGGTCAAAATAGGTATCAACATTAAGAGTTTTCTGCTATAAAAAATTTTGAAAGTACCTACTGACTTATTTTTTAATTTATTTTATAATACAGGGTGTGTCAATACTATACTTACTTATTTTTATGCGTTTTTAATCATATCTCGAGTTAGATAAAAGCTATTAACATGCGGTTTGCGCCATTTTGTTACGAATTTAATCCAGTTCCATTATAAATTACAATAAATAGGTGTTTCCGTTAAAAATTTTGAAGAAAAACAAATTTTAATTTTTTCTATTCGAAAGTACCCTCTACTTACGACAATTAAAACTAAATGCAATTATTTTATAGTAGATATAAATTAATTCATCCATACTCTTTCTAATGACACTAATTTCATTTAAATCGGTTGGACCAAATCAAAGTTATAGGTATTTATCCACAAATACTTTCCCACTCTCCCCCACCCTTTATTTGAAAAAATAAAAAAAAATACTTGAACAACTTTGTGCAGAATTTATGCATATTTCTAGTTTACTTATTTAACACTTGGTATAATTGGACATACTTCCCAAAAAACTGGTTTTCAAAATTTTCTTCGCAGGTTACGCCCCCTAGCGGTTAATCCAGAATCTTTAAAGTTATTTCCAGCGATTTCTCTTGGCCACTTTTACTAAGGAATTTTTTCTCCTAAAGTTATAACATGAATAGTTTCTGATATATAGCCGAGAGATCGGCTTATTGGACCACCCGGTACATTTATATTAAGTTCTTTATTTGTGGTAATTTCTGGCGTTTTCGGTTCTAGCCTCGTTTGTTCTTCCTCTACATAGAGCTTTTTTAGGTAGTCAATTCACGTATAATCCTGTTCTGTTTTGGTTCTATTAGTTTCTTTACCTGCGTTCTTTGACCCCTTGTGAAGCGCCATACTTCCTGTTGCAGACCGAAAAATCATATTCCATTTCGTTCGAAAAGCGTTCTCAGTGATCATTTTTTATTTTTCTTACAAGTGCATGTGTTTCGTTTCGGATTATCTTGCAATAATGGTATGCCTCTTGTGTTTTGGTTGACATGTATTTCAGGTAAGTTTTTTTCTTTTCTTTACATTTTTCCTTCACGTCTGTACAAAACCATGAAGTTCTTCGCCTTGGGAACGATTTATTTTTATTTATATTTCTTTTACCAAGAATTGTTATTGGTTTAAACTAAATAGATATAATAGACATATATAAATGTCTCTTGACTTCAGTCTGTCAGTTTCACTATTTTATGTATCTCTACGTCTATTTAAAGTGGGATTTTTGTTCCGAAGTTCATTTGTATTGTTTATATATCTTTTGGGTTTTTTGTTTTTTTTTTAAATTTCAATTTTTCTTGTGCCTCTTTTAGTGGAACATAACAAACCACGTGCTATACCACATAAGGAACAAACTGCTGTAACATGGTTGTTACTATGATGAACTCAACATATACCTGAAACTAGTTTAGGTTATATCCAAACAAGTGCCTGACCACGCTGAAACTACATTCATGTATATTTAACTGCAAGTTCAGCAACAACCAGAAATGACAAAAATTATATAGCAATTATCTACACCTGATAGACAAAGTTAGTCGAAGCATAAAAAATGAGCACCCAATGTTAAAGGTAGTAACCGCACTCTTATAGATTCGTTGTTACATTGTTGTTGCAATGCAACTAACAATGGCACACCATAATATTGGATATTATTATTAAAATTACCTTTTTCGCCTTCTTAGCTCAGGCGATCTTTGTACTTGTCTTTCCAGTCAACTTCAACAAAACGTGTGCTCTAAATAAGATAGGGGAGTTAAAGGCTAGTTTTGCCTGACTACAAGGTCAATCCTACAAAAAGCCTGGTTCTAATTTTAGTTTCGTAATCTTTTGGATGGTCAGCATATTGCTATTAAAACGGTGCATTCTTACCTCGAGTAAGTGCTAGAAAGTGTGTAGATGTCCCTTTGGTTTCCACGTAGAAGTTATTGTAGAAGGCATTGGTTCATTATTGTCTAGCATGGTAGAATTAGTATAGTGCATAGTGTAGCCTGTTTAATTCTACCTCGGACTCGTTGTCGAGCAGGAGAGTGACATGTGACATGTAGTCCTCCGGCTAAGTCCTTTATTTCTTTTAAAAAGATGAGTTATTGTCATCTACAAATTTTTATTATTTTTCCCGGAAAATTAAGCCACCAAACGTTTGGATTTAGTCAGTTTTTTAGTGTCAATAGCTCTTCTTCTTTACTGACTTTACAACTCGAGATGAGTCTTCGCAGCATCCACTATAGCCATCCATCTTCTACGACCTTGCGCTTCAATGTCTCATGTACACTAATTTTTGATAAATTGGCTTTAACATCACATTCCATTTTTTTCCTGGGACGACCTACTGATCTTCTACCAACTGATTTCTCAAAAAACACTGTCTTTAGCACTCTGCCTTCCTCTGATCTTACCACATGACCTGCCCATCTTATCCGGTTAGTTTTTATATGTCTGACGATGTTTTCAGTACCATACAGTGACCAATTCACCAATTCGCCATCTCCACTCACGTGTCAATTCATCTCTTTGTGGGCCAAATGTTATTCTGAGAACCTTCCTTTCAAATACCAGCAGCTTATTTATTTCTCGCTCATGTCGAGTCCATGTTTCACTTCCATATGTAACAAATAACTGGACAAATAATTGATATGTAGTCTTAATTTAGATTGTCTCTTTAGCAGCTTAGATCTTAATACTGATGATAGGGGTATAATGCTCTATCCCCTGCAGCTATCCTTACTGAGATTTCTTTTTCTATGTGGTTGTCATCTGTGATTTACTGCCCCTAGATGTTTAAATTCTTTTACTACTTCGAAGTCGTGGCTATTAATAGATATGTTCTGCTTAACTCTTGGTCTTGGATACTGGCATGTGTTTCATCTTCTCGTCATTTATTCAAATACCCAGACTACCTGTTTCTTCCTCGAGTTGTGAAAACACCTCTTTCAAGTCACTTGTAGAACGAGCGACGGCATCTAGATCATCAGCAAACACCAACAATTGTGTTGATCCTAGATTCACAAATCCCCCTGTCAGCTCAGATAAAAGGCCAAATTTAATAGCTAGGGGATAAGGGGTCTCTTCTTTGTCTATATGTTAAATGGCATCGATGTTCTCTTAACTATCTTTACCTCTGCATATGAGTCTGTCACACACATAAGAGTTATCTTCATTATTCATATTCATATTTATTCACAAGTATATCTTCATTTAAAGTAATAACATTTAACTAGTTTTTACCCAAATATTTTAGTGGTTCAAAACATGTACCCCTAGATACACTGATGATGGAATATAGATTCCGAAAACGTTTTTTTAATGGTGATATAGCCCATTTGGGTATTTTATTATATACCTTTATAAAGGATTTTAAATAAAAAATTTTTATCTTCATTAATTTTCTTGGTATTCTCATTTCTAATGTTGCTAGCCATAATCTGCTTCGTTTTATCGAACCATACGCTTGCTGTCAATCTACGAAAATGCGGTGTATATCTCGGTTAAAACAAAGTCCTTTGTGATACTACGAAACTCTTTCTCAGCATATAGAAACCCAAAGTACCAGTCGATTAGCCCACGATTATAAAGATGCACATTGTGATTCGTCGATAGGTTTTATTAGAGTTTCTTTTATGAACCTTATTTCATTCTCTCAGTTCTTAATTCCCATACCACAATTTTTTGGGAAGAAAGTTGTATCTGCTACATTTGTATACAGTTGTATGTACAAAAAATAGTGTTTGTCATTGTTGATGTCAATTTAGTTGAAGATTTTTCTAGTATAACAAATTTGCTATTGATAGAACCCTGCTTCCTTATATTTCCGGAATTATTTCTCTAGACTCCAGATAAGCATTGCCAAGATACCTTAAGTTTATCTAATACTACGCAAATAGTCCTATAAGTTGGTTTCAATCCCGATCTTGTGGGCACTGGTACTTTTGGAAGGTGTTTTGTTAGTTTTGGTGTTTTTTTATAGTTCTCCGTTATTATTTTTGTTGATCCCATGAGTATGGCACAAATTAAAGTTCCTTTGTAGGTATAAGTCCCAGAGTAAAAAGATGAGGTACAGCTTAGTGAAGTTTGTCTCCACTAGATCGTCCGTGACAGATATTTTAATATATGCAGTTGATAGGTAGGTTTGAGTATGCCTCAATAGTGAGTACAATACGCTTTTACATTACGTGTTGTTATTATCTTGGTCCCCTAGCATCACTATGTGTGGCAAGAGTCTCATCATCAAGTCAAAGTGATACAGTACGGTTTACTACAATTCATGTTTTCGATATTATATTAAAATCCAGAAATATATCCCATTGAGCTTTTTTCTGATCCAATCTTCCATTTGCTTATATTTGCAGTTAAAAAAAATTCAAGAAGGAAGTACAAACTAAGGAATTGACATGAAAAACTCGGATAATATAACTAAACTATATAATAAACTATAACACTTATCTTAGTCTTATCAATAATAGAATACTCAAGTATCTAAAGATCATGAAATAACTTACTTGGATCGAAGAAGACTATGGCTTTCAGGCAAGCGAATTCGGTGTCGTCGATCTGGACTTCGTTCATGGGCTTGACGAGCTCGTCGATGATCCTGGTCCCGACTCTGGAGATGCTCATATCTGGAGATACGTTACGAGGATCTGGTATCATAGCTGCAGTACATTGGACAATTGTCCGATCGTTATTATTGAATGTTCGTACATTTCCGCCAAAATTACTAACCCAACATATGCCTACTATTCACCAAGCACAAAGGCCACAAACGTGGAAGTGTGGTAGTGATATCTACTTTGTTAGAAATTTATGTTAATTACAGTAGCTTATAGTGTTAGTTATTTTATTATGAAATTACTTCTAATAAGAGAGAAATAAAAAGTTTGGGTGGGTTTTCAATGTGAATAAAATAAATATTTTAAAGTATAAGTTACGTAGGTAGTTACGAAATAATCTACTGCATAGCTTGTACTTCCTATTTTAGATACACAAAATATATACTATGGCGTGAAATACAGTACTTGTCAAATTACTTGCTTATCCACCTAGAATAGTTGGGATAAGTTATAAATAGTAAATAACCAAAATAATTTCGATTTAGATTTTTTATCTTTAGTTTTATGTAGTGCTAACTCCGTAGTAATGCAAAAATATGATTTTATAGTACGTCCACATACTGGCCTCTACCGGCACCAAATCAATACGATTATCTATTGCAATCCAGCCCAAAGAACCATTTTATTTGAAAATTCTGACGTTCGTCTCTATATGAATCCGTAATTGGTCTGTACTTGAATTGCCGTACAAAATAAGATTTGTCAGTACCAAGTTCTGAGAGACACTTATCACTAAAAATAAATGTCCAATTGTGGTATCATCCAGCTAAACTACAAGTTTGCGTCGACTATCAAGACGTGGACGGTACGTCAAAAGATAGTTTTGATGTAGTTTGTGTTGGATGGATAACACAATAAAAATAAGAAAGTTACAATATCTGGGATACGTAATGAGGGGACAGTGATATGAACTGCTAAGTTCAGAGCAGAGGTAGATAGCGTAAAGATAGTGATGATGATTCAACCTCCCATTGGGAGACGGCACTTGACTAAGAAGTGTTGGATGGTGTATATAATTGTTTGTAGACCAACATCATCAACTTGTTCCAACTGATGTGAATTAGTAGTTACTGTACACGCCAGAATGCCACCGGGGGTCTTAGTCGTGGACTAATACGCACCCCGATGCACATCGCCCCACCTCAAAATATGTCTCCTGTACACTGGGAATCCGTTGTCGGGGCTCTGCTCCGGTTCTTTGAACTGAGACTCTGAGGCTGCACTTTTTTCAACTTTTAAAATGTGTTTTCATGTGAGAAAATACTAAGATGGAACATACGCAGAGGGCACTTCGAATGGGCTGGTCGAAGTCCCTCAGTAAGGCACCGTGGGAATGGATAAGTGGCCATAAACAACACGAGATTGCGACCCAGGCTCCCACTAAGCTACGCTACAAGCTCCACACCAGCAGTTAACTGTATCGTCGACCTATTCTGCTGTTTTTGACACTGTCCAGTGCCGGAGGTTTCAGCGATCGAGAAGTCACCGAAGTCACCATTCCCAGAAGCTACTGAGGCCCCCCGAGTAGCCGAGGAGTCACTCCCTGTCCTACTGCATGTGGTACGTACACCATTTAGACGCAATCATACTCACTACTAAGAAACCGGCTGGCAAATGATTATCGGTTCCTGATGGTCTAGGAAGGAAAAGACTATCGTGGCTCAGAAACATCCGACAATGGACAGGGCTAAATTTTGAACAGCTAATAAGAACAGCTAAAGATAGAGAAGAGTTTAAAATTGTAGTAGCCATCCTCCATTGAGGAGAGGGCACTTTAAGAAGAAGATGGTCTAGAGGAGGACAAAGTCGTCGAAGACGAGGGTGCTGTAACAGATGATACCTGCAGAAGAAGAAGATGACCACCGGAAGCTAATGTACTGTGTTGTGTTTTTCCATCTTTTAAAATGTGTTTTCATGTGAGTAAAACTACCCTTTTCGCAAGGATAGACCGCATGATGAGGAACCGTGTGACATACCCAACGTTACTGGGATACAGTGTCAGCACATGTAGTCAGAGGCTGTCCACAGGAGAAGTCTTATCTCTGCTCTTATGGAATCTAGTCATTAATGGGTTAATAGCTAGACTGAAAAACGACAGATCTGTTGGGCTATGCAGATGACCTGTCATCTTAGGTCATGACAAATTTAATAGAGTCAGAGATTGAATGCAACAGGCTCTGATTGTAGATACATAATCGATTTACAATATAGGGTTTAAAATAAGCCCCCTTCTTTTTCTTACAGTGCCTTATCCTTAAGGACGTTGACCATTACATTTGCCCATTTAATCTTATTTGTAGCAGCCCTGAATAATTCTATGGAGGTCATGTTCGTCCATTGCCGTAGGTTTTTAAGCCAAGAGTTGTGTCTTCTTCATGGTCCTCTTTTGCTATTGACTTTGCCTTCGATTATAAGGTATAGCAGTTCATACTTTTGATTTCTTAAAAATAAGCCCCCAGGAGGACCAAATAGTAAAATTTATTAGGAGGAATTTAGAGAGAGGTAGGTGAACTCAAGACTAGTGTGAAAATGCCGAAGATAGATAAGCGGATCATAAAACTGTTATACTGGTATGGGTGCCAAGTTATCGGAGAATATACAGCAATGAAAGAACTGATAAACTTGTGAGAACCGGCTAGGCCAGATAAGCCAGCAGGAGTTCCAAAAAACATCGTATGCGAACGGAAAAAAGCCTGGATACGAATACACCAAACTCTCACTGAGAAAGTATATCCGTTGAAGCATGTATATTAGACGGGCATGCGCTAGTGGGGCGGAAGCATTATGGAAAACAAGCAGAAATCAGCTCAGAGTGATAATAGGATTTCTCACTGGACATGCGCCAGTCAAGGGACAGCTGTATATATTGGGATTATTTCACGAGGACTTTAGCTACAGACTCTGTAGCAGAGAAGTGGAAACAGTCAACACTATCTTGTATGACTGTGAGGGAAACACTTTTTGGAAACTACCAAGTGACTTCACAAAGATCTGGTACCTATTCACTATAGACTTGTACAAGCCAATATACAATAAGCCAATTAGCTGCAGAGTGACTGGTTTTTAAAATAGAAGGTTTACATAAATTAGATAGACACCTATCTTTCGCTTTTACATGTGTAAACTCTTCAGCAACGCAAAAAAACTGTTTTTAAACTCAAGTTTCTAAGTCCACGACGAAGAAGACTCAAGTAAACTACTTCTTGGTCGAATATTGTTACCTAGTGTACTAAATTTATATTTCTTTCTTCTTAAGAAGTGTTATATGATGGGTTTTCTGGTATTGTAGCGTTTCAGCGCCTTCCAGTAAGTATCGACAATTAATGCTATGTAACGAATATAAAATAATTATATTTGAAGCAAAAACCATGCAGTATAATGGAACAAAACAGTAAGATTTATATAAGAAAATAAGTGATGTAAACTTAAAACTGAAGTAAACGTTTATTGTAGATATCACTACCGAGCTGCCACAAAAAACCGTATCAAAAAAATATGGCTCTTTACCCCACAGTATTTTCATCAAAATGTGTTAGTGTTAAAAAAAATTAAAAAGATACCTGCACCTGAGAAACGAAATTTACTGTCAAAAAATTAAACTTTGCATTCTGCCTTCAAGGGTTACATATTTTTCCTTCCATCGATATTTGGCTTGTCAATATATATTAGTCGCTAACTTCAGTTGTTTTATATCTTTTACATCATATCAGCTCTATCAGTAAGTCATATTAAAAGATATGATAAGTCGAAGTTTATGACCAATATTTTCTAACGAGTAAATAAACAATTTTAAAAATTCTATTTATCTCAGTATAGGATATAATTCTTTGGATTACACTGGCTGCTGATATTTGCTCCCTGCAAATTTTAAGGAAGTTGCCTGTTCTATTATTTGTCCCTTGCCGTACAAATGTACGTTTGTTGGTATTTTTAATAATAGAATTTTAGTTTTGGAAACATTTAGATGTAAACCGAACATTGCGCAGTGACCAACTACCGAATTTATTATATTTTGTAGTTCTTGTGCGTTTCTTGCGATTAGGATGGTATCATCAGTGTACCTGATGTTGTCTATACTGCTTCCGTTAATCTTGATTCCACCTTGAACTTCGTCTAATGCTTTTCTGAATATAGATTCAGAATACAGATTAAATAATAGTGGTGATAAGACGCAACCTTGTCGCATTCCTCGTCAGATTCGTATATTTTTGGATGTTTTGTGCTCTATTTCAATTGTTGCGGTTTGGTGCCAATATAGTTCTGAGATAATTCGCCAATCTTGGTCGTCAATTCCAGATGTTCTCAGAATTTCGGTCATCTTTTAATGGTTAATGCAGTCAAATGCTTTTCGATAATCAATAAAAAATGCATATACACCTACATTCATGTTTTTGCACCGTTGTGTTAACGAATTTAAGGCAAAAAGGGCTTCTCGTGTTCCCAATCCATTTCGAAATCCAAATTGAGTCTCGTTCATCTGAAACTCACACTTCTTGTAAATTCGTGTATGAATGATTCTGAGAAAAGTTTTAAGGAGATGTATACATTTAGCAATACATTAATTACAGTGGAGACTGCAGGTATTTGTGTATATGTTGTCTATGTAAGAGCTGTATATCTATAGTCAATTCGATTATTTGATAATACATTTGTTTTAGGACTCCGAAACAAAGCTACGGTTTGGAGCACAACAATAGTTATTTAAGAATTTTTTATAATCTTTTTGACGTAAAGTTATATTAGATGTTGCGATCTTAAAATTGTGCAATTAATTTGTTGCCACCTCTATGTCCACTAGTTCCTCCGATAAATAATAATATATGAGCTTCTGGTTTCAGCTGTTTTTTGTTTACATATAATATATCCTAAATATAACATTAACTATTATTGTACCTACACGTTTGGTGAACTTTATTCAAGTATAGGATAATTACTATATGTTTAACTTATAACGTGCACAGAATAATCATATGCAATTTTAAAAATTCGTCCGTTTCATCTCTTCATCGCTTGCTCTTTTCTCTCGCCTTCTGGGAAAGCAC